GAAGGAAGGAAGGAAGGAAGGAAGGAAGGAAGGAAGGAAGGAAGGAAGGAAGGAAGGAAGGAAGGAAGGAAGGAAGGAAGGAAGGAAGGAAGGAAAAAAGTTTTCTACATTCATTTCGGTGGAGGAGGAAACAAGCGGCTGGGGGTCAGTCCTTGCCCCAGAGCTCGCAGGGAGGAGCTGATTCCTCGGAGCACGGAGGAGGACGCAGTTACGTGGCGTAGACCCTGGTGCAGCCAGGATTTCATCCCGCTACAGCCAGGGCTGAGGGTTGAGACGTCTCTCATCGGATACGAAGCGCCCTGTTTTGCTAGCGATGCCGCTGAGGGGATGTTTTTGCGCCTACGGTCCTCTCCCCGAGCCTGCTCATGGCCCCTGCTCGCCCAGCGCCATGGGTTTCCTGAGCAAGTCATGTGCAAAATGTACTCGGTCTCCGAGCTTCCTTCCCCGTGYGCTCATGTCGGTGGCAGCCACAGCCGTCCGGAGCCTGCAGCGCATCCCGCTGCCGCTCGCTGCCCTGCGGGAGGGCCCCGAGCCCCGTGCAGCTGCGATTGACGGCAGGAGGAAGAGGAGGAGGAGGAGGAGGAAGAGGGTAGGGGGGCGGGTGCCAGAGTTTCCAAGACAGATGAAGCACAGAAATTTAGTATGATTTTTTTTTTCCTGAGTTTCGCAGCCTGGATCTTAATTACAGGCTTAATTTTGCAACCCCATGAGAGAGAGGGGAGCAGTGTGCAAGTCATGGGAGGGAAAAAAAGGAAAAGAAAAGAAAAATAAAACCAACTGCAGGGAGAACTGAGCCTCTTTGAGGGTAAAATCCAACACAAGCCTGGGGAAGAGGATGGTTCCCAAGAGGTGTTTGCTCCCTACAGGGCCCAGAACAGCAGGAGGACAGTGACACATGGGCACCATTGGTGTGCAGAGCTCCTGCAAGAGGCATAGGCCTTCTCGTGGGCACCAAACCATCCCCGGCCCTTCCAAAGGACAGTTGTTGTGGGGCTGTGGCTGCAGCCACACAACAGGGTGGATGTAAGACAGGGCTTGGGATGCTGCAGTCCTGTCCTTGGCCTTCTGCTTCTGGAGCTTACGGAAACAGATAAAGAAATCAAGTTTAATAACACCCTGTTTCTCCAGGAGTCACTGCCTGGCCACTTCTCTCGTGCTCTGAGGATTGGAGAGTCACAACAGGCGCTGTCCCAAGGGAGACCTCAAGCACAAAAAGCCTCATGGCGGAGGGGAAGCCATGGGACAGAGTCCTCAGGCACTGTGCCACCAAGTGCCATCGTGCAGGTGCTCCTCCCCACGCAGAGCCTGCCGGATGGGACCCATGGCACCGCAGTGGTGCCAGTGGGGTGTGTGGGCACCCACCTGGAATAAGTAGCTGCAATGAGCTCAGGGTGGAGGGGGAGTCCAGCCCTGCTGGGTCTTTGAGGGGCCCCAAACGGCAGCTCCAGCTGTTTGCTCTGGCAGCCTGGCTGATTGGCAGGGCCCGGCATGTTCCTACTGTGCCAGCTGTGTCTGTGGTGGCTGGCAGTGTTCAGCAGCGTCCCAGCAGGACGCAGAGGGTGGCAGACAGTGCTTTGATCCCATCATTGGCATGATGCTGCTCTGTCTTCTGTTCAGCCTGGGTGCTCTGATCTGCCCATGCTGTACTGGGGAACCTGCTTGGCAGAGAGGGGACACATTCACCAGGGAGCCCCAGAGACCTGATCTTGCGAGTGCCTGGCCCCATGCATGCCAGTGTCCCCTGGGGTTGGGAAGGTCCCCACTTGGTGGTGCTCAGGGAAGTGCAATCTGGCTGCCTGGGGGACCTGTGCGCTGGCAGGTTGGTGGCATTGCTGACAGCACCCTCYGGACCCCCTCAGCCAGCACTCCGCACAGGGACATGTGCTCAGCCTTGTGAACCTCCCCACCACTGACCAGCACCAGCGGCACTGACAGGGTGGAGGGTGGCACTGCCCTGTCTTCATGGGGAAGCACCCCAGGAACAAGCCAGGAGGTGGAGAGGAGCACATCAGCCCTGGGTACACRGACCTCTCTGGGTTTGGCCAACAGCTAGACAGGAACTGAGGACCTCTGGCAACCAGAGCAGCAGTGGTTTGCTGGAGATGCAGGTCTGCCCTGCTTTTCCAGGGCACTTTAGTCCCAAGCAACAGGCAGAACCCGGGAAGGAAACTCCCYGCTTTCTCTGTACAGCGCTAGTTGCCTGCCTCCGTGGGGCCCAMATTCMTTCAAGGCTTTAATTTAACTGCAATCAACTGCCTCCCACAGGAGCAGCTCGTTCTCACAGGGCCTGGTCCCACCAGGAATGCTGCAGGCCTCCGCACGGGCTGCYTCTGCGCTCAGTTCAGCTGGGCTCTGTGCATCTGCAGATGGGGCTTGGCTCCCCGGGAGGTGGCAGTAGCATCCCTGGGTGTTGCTTTTGGGCCGAGGGCCAAAGAGCTCTTGGAAATGCAGCATCGTTAGGGGCTTTCAATGGACTGGATTTTGGCCTGAGATCACGCACTGGCTGCAGGCGCCCGGTCCAGCAGCGCGGAGGGAGAGCAGCCTGCTTTGGATGACGCGTGGAAACTGCTTGCGGCTCTTCCAAAGCAGCCTTATTTCCAGCTGTCTTCCCACCRTAAATCTCCAAGTATCCAGCTGAACTCAAACCTGGGATCTTTGCCTGGGAAACTCAAGTTACAGTGTCAAAAGAAAAGAGAACAAAACATCATCAACACTGTGCATTATAAAAGCCATTTAAAGTACCACATGCCGGAGTGACCACACAGTTTGAAGCGAGCTTCGCTGCGGATGCGGAATTACACCTGGGCTGCAGTTCGTTTCTGGCTCCCGAGAAGCAGGGAAGTGTGTGCTGTCCTCCAGCCAGCACACCGGGAGGTGCCAGGCAGAAGCTGGAGGRGATCTGGGAGCTGGTTCAGCAGGGAACAATCCCATTTGCGGTGCTCCATGCCTGGCTCTTGCCCCCTTGACGTATCCTGGCTCCACCAGAGCCATGGTGTCCTCAGGTCAAAACACTGCCTCTTCATCAGCTGCTCTCCCCTCCCCACTGGAGAACATCAAAGGAAGATGCACCGAGGAAGAAACAAAAGGAAAATAAAACCCCCAGCAGGGCACAGACTCACATGGGCAGCCTGAGACACTCCATCTGCAGAGACCTGAGTGCGTAAAGCTACCGCCTAGAGCAGTACTCCCAGCCCTTTCTCGCCAGCAGGGACTGTGCGTGGTTAGGGCTGGCTCTTGGGGCTATTTGCACCATCCAGCTCAGGGGCAAACTCTGTTATGACCCTCCGAGCCAGCGGGTTTGTTGTCTTGAGCAGTTCAGCTGCAGATGGCCGGGTACCGGGGCTGGTTTTGCTGCTCTTCTTCTGTAGCAGAGCCTTAAAGTCTTCATTCCTGCTGGAGGATTTCCCTGTGCTGACCACCACTGCAGGGGACTCGCTGGTTGGAGACCCTGAAGTCTTTACGGGCGAGTGGGAATTGGGCCGGCTGCCAAACGTGTCTCCGGGTTCCTTCCACCCAAGCACCTTCCTCTTCGACCTAAGCAMCAAAGAGATGTGTGTTGGGAGCAGCCCTGGGCAGGAGCTGCCACCTCATAGGAGGGGATGAGCTGCCACAGCACTGTCCTACCACAGGGAGCATCTAAAGGATGGAGGGCAGGATATCTGCTCAGCTGCTCCTGCTCTGCCAGAAACAGGACAAACAGTCTGTTTGGTGGCTGGGTAAGGCACTGAGTTACCTTCAAGTGCTGTCCTAGTAGATAGGTCCAATTTGTCCCAGAACTGATAGCTGAACAGACCCTGTTTGCAGGTTGGTAACCTGTAGACTCAGGAAACAAAGCTCTTCCATCTCGGAAGTGCACGAGGCTGAACGACCTTCTGGGGGATTACACTGAATTTGTTGAACATTTGAGGCTAGGGGTTGGGCTGCACCCAACTCTGCGACCATGGACAGGCACATCTGCCTCAACAGGCCATGCCCATTACTGCCCACCAAGCTGCTGCCCATGTACCAGAGCTGCTGGTGTCCCTGGTCCTACCTGTGGATCACAGTGAACAGATCCTCTGTGGTGCGGGATGCCATGAACACATCATCATCCTCCTCCGCAATGGAGTCAGCTGTCTTGTCGCTTGCAAAGCTCTTTTCCTCCACGCCAGCCTCCACTGAGCTGCCTGTGCATGGGGAGAAGGCACCTGTGAAACGCCCTGCACGGGCAGGTGATGCTAAGGGGATCTCCTTCGTTGGTCTCCTGTCCCTGAGGTAAAGACATGGGTGCAAGGAAGGAAGGGAGGAAGCTGAGGGATGCTCACCTTGCTCGGAAGGGGTCTCGTYGCCTTGTGCTGTGTCCAGGGCCACAGGAGGAGGGAAGCCATCGGCATCTGGGTCGCAGCAGCTGGTGTCGGCATCCAGTGTGATGATGGGGCTGGGGGTGATTGCCTGATCCCCCATGTTGGCTCCCTGCAGAGCTGGCACTGGTGTGAGTGGCAGGTAGAGCACGCTGGGCTTCTTGGGCACCGGTGGGGGGACCTTGGACTTCCTCCGCTCCCCCTCCATGGCACTGCTAYGCTCTGGCCGTGGCTCATCCTCCAGGCTGCCCTGGGAGAGCCGCCGCATCCCCACCAAGGCTGGGGTCGAGAGGGGCTCTGCAGGACTCCTCCTCAGCTCCCCTTTCCGCAACACCATGAAACTGTCCTTCTCCTTGGTGGCCATGCTTGGTGGGGATGTAGGGGACAGGGGGCCCTCCTCCCGCAGGACGGGGGGTTTGTGCAGGATGCCTGGGGGTCGTTTGGCCAGTGGTGGCTTCTCTGCCACGGGCGGCTTCACCTTTCTCTCAGGTGCACTGCAGGGACCATGCGTTGGCTCCTCGCCATGGTCTGGGCCGTCTGCGTTGTCCTCTGGCTCTGAGCGGCTGATGGAGCGCAGGCGGACAGACTGCAGGTCGGACTGTGTGACCATGGGCATGATGGGCTGGATGGGGCTGGTCTTCTGGACCAGCTTCGTGCCAAAGGTGGAATCTGAGTGGTGCCGGCTGACTTTCATCTTCCCCTTTAGGGAGATCTTCAGCCCTGAGAGGTCAAGGTGGGCGGGTGGTGTGAGAGGCAGGTCAAAGGAGAGCCTGGACTTGGGGCTTCTCTCCATGGGGGATGTAGGGGGCAGGGAGGACTTCCTCTCAGGGACCAGTGGCCTCACACGCACCTGGTGTGGAGAGTGTCCAAGGATCATCGATGTTGGGATGGTTGGTGTTGGGGTCTCCGACTGGCTGGAGTACCCACTAGATGGGGACATCAATCCAGTGCGCCTACCCGGAGAAGAGGTTTTGAGGTCCACCTCTGTGGAGAGTTGGGAGGGTGTTGTGGCCCGGGAAGTGGAGGGGGATGTGAGGGACTCTGAGCTGCCCCGTGCCTTGACACACTCAATCACCGTGGTCCCCGTTGCTGTGCTGGAGCTGGAGAGCGACTGGTAGGGATCTCCAGACTTCCAGTCTGTGAGATACCACTGATGGGGGTGGGCTGCGCCATCGGGCTCTCTGCCTGCGCTCCCCTGTGGATCTGAGTGCACCAGCCGGTGGCCCTGAGTGTCCAGCGAGATGCACAGGCTCTTGGGTCTCTGATCCTTTGGCAACACAGGGCCAGACCCCACCGGGGTGACTGGCTCATCTTTAATCAGAGAGACRCTGCGTGTAGGGGGTGATGGTTTCTTCTTGGCCTTCTTGAGGGAGATGCTTTTGGAGCGCCGCCTCTGCTGAGCGTCGTGTTCCAGCCCCAGGGAGACGTTATCAGTGCTCGTGCTGCCCTCAGAGCTGGCACTGGGGTAGTTCAAGGTGTAGTTGGCGCTGCCCCTCCGGTTCTCAGCGTATGCAATGTCCATGGAGCACAGGGACCCTGAGTCAGTGGGCACCGACAGCGACCGCTCACGAAACCGGCAGGCTGCCCGATCCACGTCCAGGCGCGACGGCTCCCGCTCTGTCTCTGACTCCTCTTTGCTTGCTGGMGAGAAATTCACTCTGGTTTCTCGGCCCTCGCACCTCTGGCCGCTTGCGTTGGCTGGGGGGAATTCAGGCACTGGACAGGAGAAGGAGCTGGGCCCGTTGCTGCCCACGTGCTCCTCCTTGGCAATGAAGAAGGAGGCCGCCCGCTCAGTGTTTGTGGGCGAGCCCAGGTTGGGTGATGCACTGGAGCTGCCTGGAGACGCACACGCAGGTCCCTTGCTTTGGCCTGCAGTGGGGCTGGCAGGACTCATGTAGCTGAAGGAACTGGAGCTCCATGCTGGGGAGAAGGTGGAGCCCTGTGGCCCGTTGCAGGCCCCGGTGTAGGCCATGGCCGCACTGTCCATCTTGGTGGGCGTCTGGTAGCACCGGCTCTCCCCTAGGTCACTGAAGGTCTTCCTCAGTGGGGCGGAAAGTGGCTGGCGGGGGCTTATCTCCTGGGGTGGCCTCCTCCCATGAGCAGTCTCGGGCACAAAGTTGCAGGACACAGACTCTGCGATGGGCGCGTGCGTGTTGAACGTGGGGCCATTGGGGCTRCCTGTGGGGACAGACATGAGCTCCAGTGAGCTGGGGCTGTGCAGACCAGGGCTGCCCAAGTGCACGGTGCCGGGGAGCGGCGTCCGCACCAGGGCTGCCCTGGGCACCTCTGCGCTCTGCTCTCCAGCAGGAGGTCAATGGCACAGCCCCACACCTGCGACTTGGCAGGACCCAGGGGCTGCAAGGGCAGAACTATTTTGAGTCCATGACCCATCTTGGCATCTCTAGCATGACTGCAACGTGCCTAGACTGACTGTCAGGGAAGAGTCTGCATCCTCTTATGAGATATTCTCAAAGCCCATACATCAGGGTAGCCACATGACAAATGGGGACAATTCACGGCCTCTGTTAACCCTCAGAGTAGCCTTGAGAATTGTCTTGGCCATGCCAGGGACTGCATGGATGTTTTAGCACCAGAGGCGGGAGTCKCTGCATGGGGACATCAACCTCATGGGGACCAACGTGCTGGCCCAGTGCTGTCCTGCAGGTGGTAGCATACATGGRACCCATAAAGAGCAGAGCAGGCCACCACCACTAGGGTCAGGGAGGGATGAGATGGCGCTCATRGGTCCCACACAGGCTGTATCTTGTTTGTGTCATGAAATTTCAGCTGGGAAGGGACCTGGGGAGTCTGGTGTGGTTCCCCGCTCAGAGAACAAGCAGCCACATCAGGATGTTCAAGGCCATGTCCAAAGCAAGGTCCAATAGTTCCCAAGGAAGGGACTGTAACAACCTCTCTGTTCCCTCACCACAGTGTCCAACCACCCGCATGGGGACAATCTTCCTTCTTCCTATGAGTTTCCCCTGTTCCAGCTTGTATCCTGTCCTAGTTCACCTCTGAGAAGAATCTGGCCCATTTCCCTGCATCCTCCCTTAGGAAATGAACCCTCAAACCACGACAGACACTGTCTGCACAGGGGTCAAAGATGGGTCCATGGCAGTGCACCCATCTGGGGCCAGCCAGGGCTCCTGTGAGCATCCTCAGCCACGACAGCACCCTCAGCATGCCCGTACAGGCAGCCTCGGCAGCTCCAGGCGATGCCCCAGCCCCATGGCATGACCAGCATCACCAGTGTGCCCAGGCTCCCCAGGCAGCCTCTTCTCAGCTGGAGGCAGAGCCAGGGCAGCGACCTTTGCGTCCCCAAGGGCCAGCTCCAGTGTGGTGCTGGCTGGCACCAGCCGGGCCCGGGCACTCCCAGAGCACGAAAGCAGCAGTGCGGGTCTTGTTGTCACCTTGGTCTCGCTGGGACAGGTTAGGGAATCCGATAATGGTCCGTCTACGCCGCAGGGTGGACTTGGGGTTCATCGCGGTCTCTGTGTTAAACAGGGAGTGACGAGCACTCGCGTGCCTAGTAAAGTGCTGCCCTGTAGCCAAAACAAACACGCTGTACACGGCCGTGACGGGATGGCGAGGCAGCCATGGGCAGAAGCCGAGTCCAGCTCTCTTGCTGCATCTAGCTAGCGCTTTTGAGGACTGTGCTGCTTGGACAAGGCCACCTCACTTCATGGGAGCTCCTGGGCCCAAGGGGACTGGGAAGTGTGGCATTGAGCTCTCTGCTCCATGCCTGGTCCCTCTGTCTCGGAGGAGCCTGGTGTAGGGTGGACCTGGATCCCATCCCTGCTGGCACCATGTCTTTCTTACAGTGTGGCTAGTAGGACTGATGCTGCTCTGGACACACAAGCCACCCTCTCTGCTGGTGCTATGATGGTGGCAAGGGCAGGGTGATGGAAGGGTGCAGTTAGCGATGAGACGTGAGCTGCTGGGAGATGGAGGCATGGCGGGTGACGCACTGTGTTCCCCACTGGTGGGACCATGGAGAAGCCTGCTGATGGAGATGGGATATACAGAAAACCAGAGACACCACCCCGGCTCTGTGCAACAGACCGACCTGTGCAGACAAGGCTTGGCTTTGCATGGCTGGGCTCCTGCTAATGTCACAGGATGTGACACCTTGCCCATGCCTAACAGAAGGGATGATGCCTTGGGACAGAGCATATGCACCAGGCAAGGTGCRGGACTTCAAGGTACCGATCTGTACCTTGGGAACTTGTAGCCCTGTGAGGGTGGATGGATGGACAGGTGATACACGCAGGTCGTACGGCACATGATGAGAGCCAAGGTGACAACAGACCATGACGGCTGGTTAACGTGGCAGAAATGAGAGACCAGACTGGTGTGACCAGTGGATTGGAAGCACAAAGTTGCAGATGGCAAAAGAGATGGTTGGAAATGACCTACATGAACAAGATCCTGCTGCCCCACCATCCCGCCTTGGGTGCTGTCCTGGCCTCCAGGGACACAGGTTTGCAACCCCGACCTATCTTCCCACTGCTCTACAATCTCCTAAGAGCAAGATGATGGGGTTTCTGCCTGGGCTAGCATTTCTTCTCAACTGTAACGTGTAGGTGTTGGCCTACCAGAGACATTGATGGGGACAATGTTGGTCTGGATGGAGCAGGACTGGTGCCACTGCTTCTCCTCCACGGTGGGCAGGGGGAAGGCCCTGGTCCAGGCTGTCTGCTTGTCTGGGGTGGTGGGGAGGCTCAGGGAGGCCTCAGGAGGCCTCACACCAAGCGTGTTAGTGGTGGTCTCGTCTTCGTTTCCTCGCCGGCTTGGGGGCTGTGGGGAAAAAAAAAAGGGAATGTGAATGACCAAAGCCACTCCTGAGAGAAGGAGGAGGGATGGGCAGAAAAGGCCACCCATGGCCCCGCTAGCTGAGTCACCATGCCAGCCCCTCCTCTCCAGGCAATGCCAGAATGGTTCCTCCCTGGCATATGTGCATGGGCAGACGGGCCTGTCTCCCACYGGCCCTGCACTGGCTGCCCCGGGGTCTGGGACGAGGTGGGATCGCAGGGACTCACCATAAGCACGAACTCGAGACGCTTGGCAGGTGGGGGCCGGGGCGACGGCTCCGAGGGGGTGTCTGGGGGCAGGTGGCCGGCGGCGCGGAAGGTCTGCCCGGTGACCCTGGTCTCTGTGTACTGCTCCTCATACTCTTCTGCAAGACAAACGGCAGGGTGTTGCTCAAGCCTGTGGGTTGAGCAGCCCCTGGGTGCTCCAGGGTGACATCTTTGCCCACAGAGACAAGGCGGGTGCTAAGAGGGCCTATGAATGGCCCTGGCTACCCTGTGTGAATCCTGCGCACTCACATTTGCAGCGACAGGGAGGTGGACAGGGAAGAAGAAGAAGGTGCTCCAGAGTGCAGCTCACGCCTGCAAAGGTCTGCAGGATAGGGCGATGGAAGAGCCGTCCTGGGCCAGCTGCAGGGCTAGCTGCACTCACGGGCACACCAACGTGACACTGGCTGGCTCACTGTGTCCCTTGTCACCACAGGCAGGGAGACTTGGGCAACGGAGAGGAGAAACAGACCACGGGGAATGGAAACCTACCCATGCCACCAGCAAACCCCATGGAAGAAGTCCAGGGCTCAGACACGCAAGTCACAGCTTTGATGCTGCCAGCCCCCACTGCCTAAGRAAGCACCAGGACTCAGGGGGACGCAAATCCAACCAGGGATGGCCAGGAGGGAACTCAGCRTCTCCCCATCCTGTAATTGTTGAGTTAATTAATGCTGGCCATTATGGCCTCATGGAAACCAGGTCTGATGAGACTAACTTAATGAGATTACAAGTTGGAGAAAGGCCAGACTGCTGATCTAACCGATGCCTGTAAAGCATCTGATTTGAGCCCACGTGATGTCTTGATTAAGAAATTGGAAGGAAACAAAATCAACAGCCGTGCTGATTAGATTAAACAAATCAACTGCCAGGTCCTCATTGGCAGAAATGCCATGGGGGTKGTGGGTGCCCAGGGACCAGTTCTTGGCCTTGGTCGCTCTGATGTTTTAGTAGTGACTGGGAGAAAAACAAGTTCAGAGGATGGGTTGCTGGTGCAAAAGCATCTGCATCTCTTGGTCAGCTGGGCCTCATTTTTATAGCTGGGCTGTACCATATACAACTGCATATGGGGAGATGACCATAACAGCTATAGATATAAGATGAGCTGGTGACGGCAAGGGAAGGCCTGATGCTCCTGCGGTGGAACARGAAGAATTCTCTCTCAGAACAATTAGCCCAGGCTGCACTGGGGTCTCTGTTGCAAGCAGTGGTCTTGCTGGTTCCTGCAGCTATGGCTGTAGGTTATCCTGGGCAATTCTTACGTGGTCGTGTGCAGAAGTGCCAACCTGGGTTGCTGTGCTAGCCACCAAACTTGTAGGAGCCTTGTTGGCCCCAGGCGCTGACTAGGGGCCCTGTCCTGTCCTTGTCACGCTAACCCAGCCCGCCACCGGCCCCTCTACCTTGCAGCAAGCTCTGGAGGTTGAGCTGGGCCTCTTGGTGCAGCTGCTCCATGCCTGGTGGGCGGCCGGAGGCCAGGAACACGTTCACCGGCTGCTGCCATGGCAGCTTGGCGTGCGCAGCTTTCTTGCTCTCGAGGTCGAGGTTAGAGGTGGCTGTGGGGAGGACAGACCAGAATGAGAGAGGGTTTTTCCCCAGGCATTGCTATAGGTTGGTGACTTATCCCAAAYTGAGGGCAAGCTGGGCACCTGGGGATGCAGGAGCTCCATGGGGCTCAGCACAGCAGATAGGTAGTCCACAGAATCACAGAATGGTTAACGTTGGAGAGGACCTCTAGAGATCATCTAGTCCAACCTTCCTGCTCAAGCAGGGACACCTAGAGCACATGGTACAGGGTGGCATCCAGGCAGGTTTTGAAGACCTCTAGAGAAGGAGACTCCACAACCTCCTTGGGCAGCCTGTTCCAGGGCTCTGTCACCCTCACAGTGAAGAAGCTCCTCACATGGAGATGGAACTTCCTGTGGTAGTCCACACCATGTTGTGGCCTCCCCTGCCTTCTGCATGGTCAGAGACTTTTGCCATGAGGCTGCCCTGGTTGCTTGCCTCAGTGTGTTCCTCAGGTTCTCCAGGAATAGAGGACTTAGATGTCCTCTGCAGGCCACACTGCCATGCAGGACTGGCCTCCACCAGCAACCCTGGCACTTGGGGCCTGGACACACCTCTTGGGGACCCTGGCTTGTTGGGCCTTCTCCTGGGCTGCTCGAACCAGCCAGGAAGGGAGGGAGAAGAAACTGAGAAAGAAAGAAAGCCTTGTTRCTCCATGCCATGGCCCAACTGTTCTCTGGTTAAGAGCGACCGTGAAGCAACCTCCTTGCTGCAGAAGAGGACGCGTCACAAGGCAAAAGGAGGGTGGTGAAAGGACAGGGGATTTTTCCACCACCTGATTTCAGCTTCCTGCCTTCACTGCACCCCWTCTCCCAGCCCAAATACTTAGGGGTATAGCCCTCTGGAAGCTGCTTAGGTCTTCCTTAGGTCTTGCTTGGGTCTTACTATTGGGGCAAGTGGGAAGCCCTGCAGCCTCCAGCACCCACAATCTGGAGAAACACCCGGCAAAAGAGGATGTGGGTTTCTGACCCAGAGCGGCTTCCTGCCAGGGCGGAGGGAGCGCCCCTGCCCAAGCACCCGCGCTGCACCACCCACAGATGCGCCGGAGCATCCCTGGGCTCCCTCCCTTCCGGAGCCGGAGCACAAAACGCAGCTGGTTCTGCCTCCCGGAGAGGAGCTTTGGGCCCGGAGCTTGATGGAGACGGGGAGGAAGATCAGGACATGCTCCCTCCACGGTCAGGTTGTAGGGGTGGTCCTCCTCCAAGCTTGAGGATGCAGCGTGGTCAGCACTATCGGCTGCCTCGTCCCAACTTTGGTGCAGAACGGGCTCCAATTCGGGGAATGGTTGAGGTGGGGCCAAATGCTGGCACCAGCCCAGCACCCCAGGACGTGTCAAACCACAGTGCACATCGTCCCTGCGCCCACGGACGTGACACGTGTCAGCAATGCCCATGGCAGCTCTGCTCCGCTGATGGGGAGGTGAGGAGCTTTGCCAGGACTCGGGAAAGAGCCAAGTCAGATGGCAGCATCAGGACCCCCTTGGTTTGGAGCCGGGGCCTTGTCTCCCTTTTTCCTTTGCTTCCTGCCACGCACAGCCCTAGCTGCACCTAGGCACAGCAATGTGGGCACTGACCCCTACCCAGATCCGTGCTGGGCTTGTCACCGCACCCCCGGGCCACCTCCTGCCCGCGCTGCTCGGGGCGCTGAGCTCGGCTCCCTGCCTGCCCTCCCTTCCCCCTCGGTGCCCGGAGTTTGCACAACGCCCCGCATCCGAAAGCAACGTGCCACATCCCTAGCCTAGTTACTTTTATAATTTGGGTTTCCATAACGACGTGACTTAACACAAGACTTCTGCTTCTGCTTTTTTTTTTTTTTTTCTCCTTTTTTTTTCCCTTCCTTTAAATAATTTGACTCGTTTCCATATCAACCGAGAGGTGTCTCCGCGCCTGGTGTACATCGTGCTGGGTCTTTGCCCGTTCGCGCAGAGCTCACATGCCCAGGGGACGGCACAGGGCAGCGGCTGCRGATGCTCCTGGGGCACAGCTGGTGTTGCACGTCCTGCTCCGAGCTGAGCAGAAGCAGGGTGAAATTTTCSCCCAGGAAAATTTCCTTCTGCAGTGGGAAACAGCAAGTGCCACGCTGGTAGCAGCCCAGCTCCCAGCCCCTTGCAGCTCAAGCTGCACTCCCTTGTCCCAGCATTGTCACTGTCTGCTGGAGAAGAGGGCCAGGCTCATGGGATGTGCGTGGAGCTGCGTCCGGGCACCTCCCTAAAAGCATGACCCTATGCAGCTGTGGGAAGTAAGTTCCCATCCTGGSCTCACAACCACCACTGCAAGTCATGCTCTGCCCACCAGACCAGACCGGTGGACTCTTCTGCAGGGTGGACTGGTGGACTCTTCTACAGACCAGACTCTTCTGCAAGCTGAGGGGTCTCACTCTGCCCCACTGCATCCCTCTTGCCCACAGCCAAGGCCCCAGAATGGAGCACTGGGGAAGTGCCCGTGACCCACCCCATGTCCCGGCTCCCTGCGCTGCTTCAGCCTCGCGCCGTGGTCTGCGGGCAGCGACGCTCCTGCCGTGTGGCACAGCGGCTCCTTCCCACTGCGGTTGTCTCCTGGAGACAACCAGGGCTGTCCCTCTTAGAGGCTCCTGCAGCATCTCCTGTGGACCCTGCAGCATCTCCCAGGGACCTGATAGCATCTCCCGTGGACCCCCTAACCACAGCTCCGACCCTCATGCTGCTGCTGCCGGAGCCCCAAGCCCACTGCAGGTACCCTGCCGCCTGCCTTCCCTCCAGCCTGGCACCGTGCCACTTCCATCTCCATGAAAACCCTTTCCGGCATTGACCTCCTGCGCCTTCCCCGGAGCCAGCGGGACCGAAGCAGGCAGCTTACCTAGGGGTGCTTCAGCCCTGCACCCCTGGGTGCCGTCCAGGGCCCTGCTCCCTCTGGGTGGCCTCGGGTGTCCTCGGCACCCGCCCTGTGGGCTCAAACCACGTGAGCAAACCGCAGCACCGAAACCCGGGGCCGCCCTTCGTGCAAGGGGGAAGCGTGTCCCGGGCTCCGCTCGCCATCCCTCGCGCATGGAGCGCGGAGCTGCCTGTGTGCCCCCCACTCCTGCTGTCCCCGTGGCCCCATGGGCACCTGTGCAGACCAGCTGGCGCTTGGAGCAAGGCAATGGAGAGGGACAGGGCATCCCCACCACGAAGAATGGCTCCTACCCCTTATTTTCAGGCTGCAAAAGTCAAAGGCATAAGCACTTGGAAGCGCTTGGAAGTGCTTTGGGCCCCTGGTAGATGCCTGGCCACACGTGGGCCAGCAGCTCACAGCAACCCCGCAGCGTGGCCCATGGACCAGTGCCCCAGGCCGGGCCCCCTGCCAGCCTCGAGGGCTGATAATGCTGTCCCGAGGGCCGGGCTATTTTKGGGAGCAGTCAGGTGCTGGCTCATTCCAAAATCAAGTTTGGGATTGCGGTTCAAGTACCAGCGTTGCCATGGGGATGCCGAAAAACCTTTCTCGGGGTCTCCAGCACAAGAGGAGCTGCTCCACCACCTCTGGCCAGGCACTCTCTGAGGGGAACCAGCCCATCTCCCCATGGTGGACACCCGGCTCTGGCTGGGTCTTCATGGTCACAGCCAAGTCCCAGAGAGGGGCACGAGTCACTACTGGGTTCCCTAGGGCCCCTGGCCCCCCGCCAAGCTGCCACGCTTATCAGCAATGGGCTCAAGATAAGCTGGACGCTCTGTCCCCGCATGCTCCGCAGCATTCCTGACCTGAGCTTTGCCTCCCTCGCTGCTGAGGGGCAAACTGAGGCACTGGGGGGGAAACTGAGGTACTGGGGGGGTTGCATGCAGCTGCCCCCAGCTCCCTTCCCTCCTCTGGCTGTGCCCTGAGGAACACGGGCGCTCGCGGAGCCGGCAGCCGGTGTGCGGGGCGAGCAGCTTGGGCTGCGCGCTGGCCCCAGGGGCAATCGCCAGTCCTGGCCACAGGGCCCCTGCTCCCGCACTCCTGCCCCGGCTCTCATGCAGCGCGAGTGTTCAGTCTCGGGACGACACGGCTGCTCCAGCTGGTGCTACTTGCTAGAAGGACAGGTCCAGAGCCACCAGGGGCTTGCATCCCACCTCAGGCTCCGAGCGGAGCTGCTGCCCCTGCTGGAATCTGTTCTCTCCGTGGAGGAAGGAGCCCCTGCTGCGCTGCCAGCTGCAGAGCACACGCTGCCATGCGTGCATCCCCCTGGAACCACACATGCCCGGCACCCAGTGTTTACCTACTGCCCAAGCATCCCGGATCCACACAGAGATGTTTGACAGGGCCATCGTCAGCTGCCTCTGCCCAGGGCGAAGTTACAGCGAGACGGCTCCGGCCTGAGCTCCCCACCGAAAACTCCTTGTCCTCAGGCGTGCTGCGGGGAGGTGGGTGCTGCCGCCCCGCTCCTCACCATCCACACAGCAGCACAGGAGCGGCGCAACAGCAGCAGCGGGCGCGGGACCATCAACCCAGCAGCCATGGCAACGGGTACCGGCGAGYGGCGGCGACCGATCGCGAGCTCCGAGGCTGCAGCCGCTCCGACGACAACCCAGCGGCACGGAGAGAAGGCAGCGCAGGGCAGCGCCAAGCCTGCCTGCTGCCGGCTTCGACGGAGCGCCCCGGCCCGCGAGGGCACAGAAGCTGCGCGGCGCGGGTGGCCGATGACATAGCTCCCAGGAGCGAGCCAAGGCGCAAGCGGGCTGCGGCGGATGGAGGGGAAGGGAAAAGAGCAAACAGCAGGAGCTGGCAGCCTCGGYGCGAAGCCCTTCCTGTCCCGGCTCGCCTCCTGCCGAACTCGGACGCACCGGCCCAGCAGCCCCGCTGCGATGCCTAACGGCAAGTGACCGTGGCGGGCACACAACAGCCTCCGGGGCTGGACATGGAGCCCAGTGCAAAGCTCGGAATGTGAAGCAGTTCCTTTGCCAACCATGCCAATGCCCCCGGAAAGGCGAGTGCTGCTCACTGCAGGGATCTTGCTGTCCCACTCAAGCACTCACCCCCAGTGCTCGTCTCACCCGCCCCGAGCACGCTCCTCCGTGGGGTGGTTTGGTTGTGGTGCTGCAGGAGCTGGCATCTAAGCAGCTTGAATCCACATGGCCTCGACCYACAAGCCCATGCTTCACCCCACAGCTACACCAAGCCCTGCATCACCTCACTCGCTGCATAGCTGCAAGCTCGTGGCAAGCGCTCCAAACTTGCGGCAAGCTCTGAACACAGCTCCTCAAAAGCCTGGGAGGAAGAGAGGGGCAGGAGGTTACCTCAAGCTACTTTATGGTGCAAAAGTATTTATTTTTGGCAATGCGGAGCAGGACACAAATGAGGAAGGATCACTGCAGCCAGGAGCACCCCTGGGATGAGGAGAGCCATGACTCGTGTCTGCTCCGCTAGGGATGTCCTGGCCAAATCCTGGGGCTCAGCACCACTGCCACGCAGCAAAGCAGGTTTTTTTTTTTTTTTTTTTTCACAGCAGCAGCCTCAAGCTAAAATTAAATCTTTAATTCATTAAAGATTAACACCACGCTGCTATACTGACTGTGCCACAGGCGCTAGGCACCCTTCCTGCTCTGCTTTGCAGGCAATCAGCTGATTTTTGTACTGACAGCAGCTGATGGTATTGTAGAAGCTGATGGCAAGGGTGGGTGGGTTCGGCAGCGGGGAGGGTCATTCAGCTTGTGGGAAGGGAGCTGGGCTGTGCAAGATCTTTTTCACTTGAAGCCACCACTGGCAAAATACCTGCTAACATCAGTACCCAGCATTAGGGCTCAGAGTTAACAGCATGTTGCCCAGACAGGGCAGACTGTGAGGTGGTCCTGGAACAAACGGCAGGCTCTGGGATCCATTGCCTCCGCTTCACCCTGACATGGGGCGGGCACGGAGGCGACGTGAGTGCTGATTGCTCCTGCTGACGGTGCCTGGGGACCCTGCGCAAGGTCGGCACCCGCTGCCTCTGCCCTGCGGGACACTCTGCGGCTCAGGGGACTGTTGCTGCAACAACCACCTGTCACGGTGACAGCCAAAGAGCTGCTGCCCGTCCAAGTGGGCTCCTGCCAGGACACCCGGGTCCTCCGCGGCGGGGCTGATCGCACCCAAACGCGAGCCCTTCGCGGGGYACCCTGCAGCCGGAGGGTGGAGGCGGCCTCATTCCATCAAGGGCCCAGGTGGAGCACGCAGCGCCCGCCGCCTTCCCAAGCAGGAATGTAGCCACAGATGAGGCCCGCGCACTCTCCAACCTCCTCACCCACAGTCAGGTGCTGATGCCACCTCCAAGGACCCGCTGCATCGCCTGCCGTCCCCTGCTCACGAGCCTCCGCCGGCTGGGAGCTGCCCGCCACCTCGGAGCACCCGAGCGCCGTGCGGACCGCGCGCCCCTCGGCCTCGCTGGCCGGGAGCTCGCAGGAAGGCGCCGCTTCCCCTGTGCCCTGCTGCTCTCCGTGCGCTCCGGGCGCGGGGACAATGTGAGGAAGTGGCCTGCGGGAGGAGAGCGGCCAGGCCCGGGGACAAAGRGGCCCCAGGCGTGAGCTCCGTCCCCGCGGTCCCCGCTGCGGCTCCGGGGGCCGCAGCAGCGYGGTGCACGGCGGGTCCCGCTGCGCTCAGCCGCGGCTCAAGGACGCACTCGGTCCAGCCTTCATCACGGCCACCAGCAACGCCATCGCCAGCGCAGGGGACACCAGTGCCACCCGGAGCAGTGGGACGGGAGACGCGTGGCCGCCCGCCCACCTTACCTGTGCGGTGCCGCGACGGCAGGAGTGACTCGGCCTTGGCCATGGCCGTGCAGAGGGCCGGGCTGAAGGTGCAGGCGCYGCACGCTCCCGCTCGCCCGCCGGCCCTCGCGGAGCGCCGGAGCTTCCTGCTCGCCTCTGGACCCTTTCTCCAGCGCGGAGAGAAAGGAAATGACCAGGAACTGCTGTTTGAGTCAGCTCCCCGCAGCCCATTGTCCGGCTCCGGCCCCTCTTCCTTCCCCTGCCCCCGGGAGGAGGGGGGCCGGGGGCCGCGCTCGCTCYGCGCGGGAGCCCGGGGGGCTGCGATGCCCCCTGCACCAGGGCCCCGASTGGGATGGGGGCAGCAGCGAGGACAGGCTGGGTCCCCTTCCCGCTGGGCCAAGCTCAGGGTCCTGATGTGCTCCAAGCTTCTCACCCCCATTCCCAAATGCTTTCCTTTATCCAAAAAGAAAGGAGGAAAAAAAAAAAAACCCAAGAACGGAGAGTTTCTGAGTTCTAACTTTTGCACCACTAGATCCGAGATTCCCTAACCCCAAGTTCCCTCTTGCTTTGGTTCGAAAGTCGCAAGCCACATGATCCACAGGGAGCACTTGCTAAGTGCTCTGGGTGATTTCTACATCTCTGCCTGCTTTTCCCAAAGGAATGAGGCCTTGGGGAGCCTGAATTTCAGCAGATCCTGGAATGCAGCCCCAAGTGCTCCGGTTGTGATGGGGAACAGGCTCCTGGACGCTGCCGCGGTGCACGTGGAGCTGGGTCGTACCCAGACACCTCGCAGGGCTCCCGGGCACACAGCAGACCCCAAGGAGGAAGTCACCATGAAACCCAACCTTTCATGTCCCCACCCACACAGCCAGTGTCCCTCCCGGGACCCCACTGCACAGTTATGACAGCCATGGACAGAACCAGTAACCTCAGAGATACCTCCCRGTCAAATCATTGAAGCCGTTGGGCATATCTACCTCCCTGCAGAGCTCGCAGCTCTGACAGCAAGCGCCAGAAAAATCCAGCCTGAGGACTGAGCCAGCAGGGAGGAACATCCCCGACAGGCTCCGCCAGAGCCGCATGGAGCAGCTCCARCAACCAAACCAGCCTCTGGAGTTGCAGGTGAGCTTGGCTCGGCTCACGGARAAACGGTCCTGCTTGAACCTAGCCTAGATACCTCCTGGCCTAGGTGGCCACCAGTAAGCTGCAGGTCTAGGCTCTCTCATCTTCCGGCCCTTACTCTCTGGAGCCCAGCTATGGCTGTGCCCACCCCAATGGCAAAACCTTCCAAGACACCAAGAGCTATCCTGACTCCCCAGCCTGTCTCTTCCACGTCGCCAGCAGAGCCAAGGCTGGTTGCAGCGGTGCAGTTGTCCCACTGCAGGTCTGTTTTGCTGGGGAACGTGAGGCCTGAGGGGTTATCAAGTTCCAGTGACCTCTCCTCAGCAGATAAGCTCCAGCCTGCATCGCTCCGCTGCCTCGCCGCAAAGCCGCCCGTAGCTGGCGGCTCAGGAATGTCGGAGCTGCTCCATCCCAGCAGCCTTGGGCCTAAATGATCCGGAGCATCAAAGCACTGTCCGGCACCATGCACAAGACAGGTTTGGAGATCTCCGAGCTCCTGCCATGGCCTACTCCTTGCAAGACCTGCTGCTTCTGGCAGCACAGCATCCTTTGTCCCTTGTGCCCAGTGGAGCAGGCGGCTCCACTGAGCCCCCCATGCAACTTCGAGCTTTCTTTGCTCGCTTTCATCCCTTTGCTAGCACCACGGCTGCTAAATTATACTGAGGCAGCATGTGCTTCCACCCCCTCTGCCTGCTCATTATTAAGCTTTCATAGTCACTTGGGCTAATGACAATCACTCCATSTTTTAAGGCAGCTCCTAAGTCATTTTTCGGAGGTCGCTCCTAGGGACCTAGGGTCCCTCCTAGGGTTGGCAGGTTCCCTGTTGCTCCCRGCACTGCCACATGCACTGGTGCTTGAGCCAGGGGCCAAGCAAAGGCAAAGGCAGCCGGAGCTGAACACATCAYGCGGGATTGCGGAGTGCTGGGGGAACGGGATCAGGCGGCCTGGGAGCCAAGGGATGTGGCAGACCCAAGCCTGTCCAGGGTTTTTGGGCATTTCCAGGGGCTGGGCTCAATGGGAAAGGAAAGTTGAACTTCCAGGTGTCTGGAAAGGGTTGCCGAACWGCCTGGGCCAGCCCAGGTGGGGACAAGGGAGTGACCAGACAGGTCCTGCTTGTTCCTCCCAGATGCTTGAGGTTGCCCATTCCCGGCTCTGGGCTAGCCCTCCGCARGCCATGCTCTTTCCAAGTGCCCCTTGCAGGTTGTCTCCCTAAGACATTTGGCTACTCAGGACCCCTTGGGGACACGTATGTCCCTCAGGAGCTGTGGCAGAAAGGGGCTCCGTGTTTTGGGGGCTAAGCAAGTAGGGGCTCCCCAAGCAGGCAGGACTCCAGTAAGCACAGGCCTCCCCACAGCCCAGGCCGGCTCCCCACTGCTCAGGGCACCAGCCAGCACCTATTGCACCCACCAGCAGCGAGCRCGGCAGCAGGGAGGGGACCCCGGAATGAACCCCGCTCCACCGCTGGCCCTGCCGCCAAAGCCCTTCATTGGAGGTGACCTCTCCCAGTGTCCTCCAAGCGACCCAAGGGGACCGAGCAGCCGGATGGGGGCTGCAGCAAAGGACAAGCACCCCCCATGCTGCTGCTACAGCGAGGTGCCTCCCACCCGCCGCCGGCCCAGAGCCTCGCACAGCCCGGGGGGGTCCCGAGGGGGCCCCGCTGCGGCGGGGGCAGCGGCGGCGGCAGCGCAGGGAGCGGCTCCCGGCCCGCCCCGGCCCGGCCCCCGGTACCTGTTGCTGAGCGCATCCTGCCCCGCCGCTGGCTGCGCGGCGCC